GCAGGATTTGCATTCACTTTGCGAGAAAAATGCAAGGTTTATCATTTATTTTACACGACATTTCTAAATTATCTCCAATTTAGACAATCAGAAAAAAAAATCTTTTTTTTTCAGTTTTTAAAAGTTTTTTTAAGGTTTTTTATCAAATTTAATCGGAACATAATATGCTACTTAAAGAGCAACCAGCTATCTGTGAAAATTTTCTCATTTCCTACTTTGAATTTTAGACTCAATCTTTTTTGTCCATGTTTGGTCCCCTGGTTTACGCATAACTCATAATCAGCATTTTTTCACATCAATTAAACTTGATTCGAAAATAATCAGTTCATTTTTTCGTCAAATCAAAACTTTTTCGCATTTTGCTGCTATCTGATTAACTTCAGTCCAAGCCTATTTAAATTCAACGGAAGCAACTAATGTACAAGTAGACTTTGACCACCATGAATTTAAAAACAAATTTTTCATATCATTAAACTATCATTGAAATTGGGAAAACAAATTCACTTAATTTTTTTTGATTCTCAAAATTTTGCTGTTTTTAATAAAAAGAATAGAAAAAATTATAAATTTGCAATAGAATCAATTGAATTTAATCTGATTAAGCTTTAGGCAATTTAATTTAAAAAAACGATCATAATCAGGACCATTTTTCTCCACACCGAGACGTTTTTTCAGAACTTTTTGGTATCTAGATTTTTTAGAGTGAAAAAATTTTCTTTTGGAGCAAATTTTAAAAAATTAACAGTACTGCTCGTATCAAGGCGAAGCCCTGAATTATCCGACTGCCTTTCAAGGTTTATGGAGCATTAATAACATTAAAAAATTATATATGATAAAATAAAAAAAAAATCATCACCCCACACGCCATATTAAATACAAAAGGATAACTTTCGCTGCTTGTAACAAATTAATTGTGGTAAATAAGCATTTTTCAACCAAGTTGGAACGATTTTTAAGACAGATTAATTCTCCGCTTACGCGTTAATAGTGCGAAATTGATCGCGCGTTAATTGTACCAAGTTGGCCCGTAAAAAAATCAGCAATCAAAAAAAAAGAAGCGATTTCAGGTTACAAAACACCAAAAAACCTGACAAGCAACAACAATTAATTTCAAAACTTTATCAGAATATAATATGCTACTTAAAGAGCAACCAGTTATCTCTGATAATTTATAATAATGTGATCAGTTTCTTACTTTGAAAATGTTGAAATTAAAACTCAATCAATTTTTGTATACGTGTGGTCCCTCTGTGTATGCAGAACTCATAATAATCAAATTTTCATATCAATAAACTTGATTCAAAACTAATCACTTCAATTTTTCTTCAAATCAAAAGTTTCCGCATTTTGCTGCTTTCTGATTAACTACAGTCCAAGCCTATTTAAAATCAAGGGAGGCAACTAATGTACAACTACATTTTGACCACAATGATTTTAAAAATAAAGCTTTTACATCATTAAACTATCTTTGAAATGGGGAAAAATATCATATAATGTTTTTCTCAAATTTTTGCTGTTTTTTAGTAAAAAGGAATCGAATAACATAAAAATGCAATAGAAACATTTAAGCGCAAACTCTCATTGAACAGTCTGTTCTTTAGTTTAAAAAACATTAAAAATCAGACCAATTTTTTCAACATCGAGACCTATTAAAGAATTTTTTGGTATCTAGATCTTTTTTAAAATGAAAAGAATTTCTTTTCACACCAAATTTTTATTATCAATGTTATCATTTTCAAATTACAGACGTAAATTTAAGTTGCAAAATACCAAAGCAACTGACAAGCCCCAACAAGTAAACTCAAAAATAGGGTTTGTTCAGAAATTATTTTTAATCATTTCTATTCATCGGACAAAACATAATCGAAGAATCGTGGAATTGTCAAAACATTCAAACAGACCCAATTTTGCATAGCATAAAAGATCTAAATTTTGTGATTACAATTATGTCATAAAAGTTTTTGGTTTTTGTAAATTCATTTTTTATATTTGTTGTTTACTCATGAAGACGCCACTCGATAGGCAGCTAACAGGCCTTTCAAGTTTTTTTTTCCAAGATGGATTTTTTTATTGCAATGAGTTATCTAACTTTTTTGTTGTTATAGTACCGCTTGCTCGTTTGTAACTGCACGCATTTTAATATTTTTAATGTCTATTTGTTTTCACAGTGATCTGTTTTCAGCAGAAAGACTTAAGTCTTGAGAAAAATTTATTTCCCTATGAAAATCTGAAATCTGATATTGTTGAATGATGTCAACTTTCACAATAACGTGTTTCTAAATAGGTTTTGGGGTTTTCTATAAAAATTAGAAATCCCAAAACATTTTTTATAGGATGTTCAGATGTCACTCAAAGGAGAAGCTTTTTTCTGTTCGTTACAAAAGATCTAGGCTGCTAAGTATTTTAAGCAAAAAAAACATATTTCCTGAAAAAATGGAAAGCAAAAATGGAAAAATTTAATTATAATTTTATGCTTTCCTTGAAAAATAAATACATATTATCAAAACACTCTAGGTTGATTTCATTTTTGAGAGCTAGTTTCTGGGGTATAAAATTTCAAAGTTCTCAGAATTCGCATCGGGATAAAATGAAAAATTATAGATGTTGAAAACAAAATATTGCGTTTGATATGTTCGAGGGTAAACATCAAGTGGGCTCAAACTTGCTGTTAATAAGCTCTATGAGCATAAATAATTCACTTTTCGTTGTTTTCTCGATTTTGATAAATTTTTTAATTGAGAATTGTTTTCCTGAGAGACGGAGCTATCCACAAAAATTGTGTACTAAATTTTCTTCTCTCTTAAGTACTAGTCAAAACTCCTAGTGATGTCTTTGAACTAAAAAACCAATTTTGAAAGCAATCAACAATTTGCTGCTTTTTGTTTGGCGCCAAAACAATTGATGAGTAATTGCAATAACTGATTGGTTATAACGTACACTTACAATTAATTAATTATCATACTAAATAATGATTGGTCGAGCAATAATGAGCAGTGAGTTGTTCGGATCCCTGGTTATAGAAAAAAACGTATACCTTACAGAAGAGGCTTCAACAGAAAAAAAATGAGACACTGCAACCAGGAAAAAACTTCCCAAGAGGAGTGAAAAAAACTATCTGAATTTTAAAAAAACGAGCAGTTCATAATTGAAACGAAAATCATTTTAGTTGTTGAGTTTATAATCCCAATAGAAAATTTGAAATAAATTCGCCATACAGATGTGCTGAAAAATTAATCGGCGGGTGAAAACTAACAGCTTCAAACAATTAATTAAATGTAACAATTTGCAATTATTGTTCTGACCATTTGAAAATGTGGAGGAATTTTGTATTTGGGTGTGTTTCAATTTTTTTCTTTTTGTTTTCCTTGCAAAATCAGGTACCTCAAATAGTCATCGGAATGGAACTAGTGATCTATCATATTAAAGCCTTTCTACTCGCAGCTCAAACGAAACTAAAGAACTTCGAAAAAACTTTCTCAGTGTCGGGAATAATAGGTTTGAAATTGTAGATTTTTGGTCTAAATTAGAGCTAACAAGGTGAGCGTGCAGGCTTACAGTAGCCTAATTGAGCTTAAATTAAGCCTTGAAAACTTAATTTTACTCGACTAAAATTAGATTTTCAAGACTATTGTCGGAACATTCTGTGCTAATGGCACAATAACCGGCTATCCATGTTCAGTTTTTGGCTCTGTAATTACTCTGAAAATAAAATCTTCAGCAGGGGCGAATTCAAGGGGTTTGAGATTTCCACCTCAAGGGTTCGACCCTTACAATACCCAAGGTTTCCCTTCATGGTTAATATTTTAAAACCCTAATTTATTTCGACAATCCTTAGATTTTTCTAAAACTACCTTTAGTGTATAGAACGTATAGAACTTTTGAAGGGGGAGCGCGCGCCAAAAAACTTTCAAAACTTTCCATAAACCCCAAAACCTAACTTTTTGCCACTTTTTGTTCTAAGAAATTTTATCTTTGAATGGCACTCAAAAAATCAATTTGCTCAAGCTAAAAAAATGAAGTATTTAAAAAATCTTTTTCAGTTTTTGGAAAAAGCTGCATCTCTAAATTTTGCTAATTGATGCATCATTGAATTAACTTTTTCGAGAAGCTTTGTAAGTTCCCAAAACTTACATTTTTCTCGTACATTTTTCAGTTTTTTTTAGTTTTTTCAAGACTATTTCTCGCCATAGTTAAAAGAATTTTCAGAGCCACTTCTCCAAATTATTCAACAATAAAATTTTTAAAAAAAGACTGAATACTCAATTATTCAGTTTCATTCGAATTTTGATAGTTGTAGTGATTAAATATAACTTGTCTTTCACCGTTGCATTGTTTTCCCAATTCATGATGCCGAAGCTGGTTTGTGGATATTTCCGTAGATAAGTTGAGAATTTCAAAACTAGCAACATATTTCAAAAAATCAAAGTGATTGGCAAAAAGTAAACCTTTTCATTTCGAAAAATTTCTGATTGTTCTTTTAAGTAAAGGGCGATCAAAAAAGTGTTAGCTGAAAGAAGTACAAGAAATACAAAGAGAGAGGTTATAAAAGATAAGAGAACCATCGCCTAGAAACAAATTGAAGATTGAGTCTATATTAGATCTAATCTGAAAAAAAAGTATATTAATTTACAACCTATCTTTTTTTATATATATATTTTAAAATTATGACTGAAGAAGCTCTCCCAAATTACAAAAAAAGCCGAATTTTGACTAAATTTTGTTCACCGCGCGCCACTAGTGCCTTTAAAAAAACTTAGGGTCAGTCAGCAAAAAATAGTTGCCCTTACATAGTACCAAAATGGGGACCGTTAGGGTGTCAGGGGGTCAAGTTCCTGAGCCCCCCCCCCCAATCCGCAACTGATAACACTACTAAGAATTAACCAATTGATAAGCAGACAACTTCTCAGTCGCAGCGCAGCCTAAAAAGAAACTCCCAAAAGTCTGATGTAACAGAAACAAGTAAAAAAAAACAATTAACTTCAAGAATTCTAACATATTTATGTACTAAATCAATTATCTTGAGAGAACACCATTTCTTAATCGACTTTTTTTTATAAGGCAGAACAAAATTTTTTTTATTCAGTCCCCTCTTAGCTCGGTTACTCTGAGAAATGTCCTTTTAGCTCTATTGAACTCTCCCCTCTCCTGGTAGAGTAGTCCCAAGTCTTCCAGCACTGCAATTGTCTTCTGATCGTTTCTCTGGTACTGAAATGACTGGATCAGAGCCTTGTAGATGTTATGGGCGTCTTCGTACATTCCGTAGCTGTGCAGTGCTTTCGCTAGGCTGTGTTGCGACTCCAGACTCACTGAATCTAACAAATTAGACAGAAAACATCATAGTTCACATTAACAGTATAGAAGATCTACTTTTGAAATAATAGTGGTTTTCAGAGGGGTCCTTGATAAGCTTTTTTGGAGCTGCGAGAAGAAATTTGCGGTCATATTAAGCTTTCCGCACCGAGCGCTCATGGATCATAGTCGATTATATTGCCATTTTATCGTCAGTATCTAAGAAATTACAAAAAAGGATTATATTCCATTAAAAATGGATTATCCTGATATTTCATGCCAATGTAATCCATTACAGTGATTATGATCGATTATAATGGATTGTTTAAAAAGTTATTGATGAAACTTTTATTTTTGTTTTATATTTTTTTCATTTTCTGTTTTGTGTAGTTGGTGCACAAATTGCGTTTCAAAATTTCGCACATTTCACTTTTATATTTTATAAAGATTTTACATATTTACAATTTTCCTACTTTTTTAGTTCTTAATTCATGGCAGTTAAACACTTTATTTAATTTTTAAACAAAATTACCATTCGCCCAACACCCCTCACGTTCAAGTAAAATTTGGGGGAGTGAGGGTGGAAAAGTGGGGGGAAGGGTTGAGAGTGTGATCGGTTAACTGGGGAGGGGAATTTAAAAAAAATAATTGTTGAGGGGAAGGGGGTAAACTGGTGGGAGAGGGGTGGGGATCGGTTCGATAAACTGCGGGCGGGGGTCACCTTTTATGTTTGTAATAACTGGTGACATGGCTTAAAATTTTTCTTGCAAAATTCGCCAATTTTCTGCAAAATAATCAAACTTAGTTCTACAAGCTTTTATAAATTCCAACTAAAACTTCGAAAAAACTTTTAAAAACTCATTAGGCTTAACATTTTTATATTTTTTCTACTTTTTCAATTCTCAGTGAATGACAGTTTAACATTTTATTTACGTATTTTTACCAAAACTCCCATCACGTTCAAGTAAACTAGGGGGGGGGGGGGGGTTAGTGGGCTGGTAAACTGGGGGTTGGCCTGGGATTGGTAAACTGGGGGTTGGCATCGGTAATGTGCGCGGTGGTTCCCTGTTTTGCTTGTGTTTACTGTAAATGACATGGCATAGCGTATCTTTTTAAATTTGCCCAATTTCGGCAAAATAATAATCATAATAATAATTGTAGTTCCTGCGAATCGCAGAGGAGCTATCAGTAGGCCTTAACAATCCATTTGTATTATCTCCCCACATTCCAGACTGTTATTTTGCTGAGCGAAGCTGATTTTTTGCGACTCAAGGCCGTTTTTTTTGCGACTAGAACTTTTACGTGGTACCACTATTGCAGCCAAATTTGGTCAGGTTGTGGTAGACCTGAAGCTGGAGGTCAATTGAGAGCTTGTCCTCACACACTATCATTGCCATTGGCATGGGATCGAATACACGATCTGACGATTTCAAATTGAACGCCTTACCACTCTGCTAAGTGCCTCGTTCTTCTAACAAAAATTTTCGAATTTCTTCTAACAAATTGGACTATCATCGATTATAATGGAATATAAAAAATAATAATAAAAAATAATATATTAATTCCATGGGCGCTGGGTGCGAATTATTTAAAACTGCAAATGAAATGTCTTGTTACCATTACCCTTACGATAAATGGTAATGAATATCTATCCTTATATGAACTACTCAACCCTCCTTGCAGCAATGTGTGTAGAGGTTCTCAAAAACTTTTAAATTTTTCAAAAAAGTTCAAGACGTTGTTCAAAAAACAAATTCTATGGAATTTTTCGATCAAATTGATTGCGACTTTCAGCGCCAAATTGTGGTAACGTTAACTATGCCAGTATTTGAAATGTGTCGCGTTTTTTGGCCTAAAAATTCGCGGTCTTCACAACTCGACAGAAGTGACTCAGTCTGGATTGTGGAGATATTATACAAACGAATTATGTTTAGACAGGCCTGAGAGCCTTTCATAGACCCTCTGCTAATTACAGAAACCTCAATTTATCTTACCCGTGGGTTGAAAGTTGACTCCAAAAGTGTTTGTGGCCTGTTCGTAGAAAGAAATGGCCTCTCTGAAGTCACATCTAAACAGGTGCGTGTCTCCTATCTTCTTCAACACCTGTCCAATCAAACCCTCTGTATCTGCCTCCACTGACAGCTGAGATCTTCTGGCTTCAAGACTCTGCATAAGAGTAGAGTTTTAGTCAATTACAATAATTGTCTAATAAAAACATCAGTAGGAAGAGACAATTTTGAATTAGTAGGATGGCAATTTCCAATCTACCCACCAACTGAGTATTTATTTTAAGACCATTTATCCACGAGGTTAAAGACCAACATACGAGCTGTACCGCTGTTGTTCCCCTGCATGCATGTTTTGGTTATTTTTCTTGGCTGGGTAAAATTGCCCCACCATCAAGCAGCGAACACGGATTATGGTGGGCCTCGAACATCCGACCATTCGAATAAGAGACGGAGACGTAACCACTTCACCACCGCTCCCAACAGATCTATATACAGCGAGTATACCTACAGATCTTTTCCAGGCTTTTCTGATTACCTTGTGAAAGAACTCTAGCGCCTTCATTCCGTGTCCGTTTGCAAGGTGACAGTCTCCTATGTTTAAGAACACCTCCCCATTTCGCAGATCAGACTGTCCAAAGTAGAACTCCCTCGTCTTCTGAGCCCTGTGAAGGAACTTCATCGCCTCGCTGTTGTCGCCCCGCTTGTGGTAAGAGCGACCTAACACAACACAATTAACAATGCACTATGACTAATTTACTCGTTAAAAAATTATTTGAATTTTTGAAACAAATTTTCATATACGGACTGTGCCAAAAATGATGTATTATGAAAAAAGTCCCAGCAGAGCAAAGAGAATCACACGTCAAATCCATGAAAAGATTTTTTTCGTGAACAGTCTGCTAAAAGCCATATTGCCCGCAATTTGTCATTAACAATAATTACCAATGTTATTTTGACAGAAGGCAACATCTGGATGATCTGTTCCATGGTTAACCGTCTCCACGCGCAGCGCCTGCAATGTTAAATCACTCAGCTGGTATACAGTTTATCATTTATTTATAACTATATTTCTGGCCCTCCCTCGTGAATACTTTCCCGTAATTTATTTAAACTTGACTCAATTATATATATTTTTATCAGCCAAGAGAAAAATTGGGCAATCGCGCTATCAGAATAAACTTTGGCTTGTGATTTTTGTTACTAGTGGTTTTTATTCCAACAGAAACCCATGTTACATCATAAAAAATTGGCATTTCTTTTCGACCGAGTGGAATGAAAGAATTGGTTGATTTCTGTTCAACTGTTTGTACTCTAAACTACTCTTTCAAAAACTGCGGATCTTGAAAAAATAAAGCTCCTTCAACTTTCTCGGTTACCTTGAAGTAACTCTCCGTCGCTTCGGCTAATTGCCCGTTCTTCTCATACAAATCTCCCAACTCTGAATAGAGGGGACTGAACAACCTATTGTCTTCAGAGTGGCTTTTCCTCTTCGTTTCAATGAGGTCCAGAAGGAGTCCGATGGCCCTGTCTTTGTCGTCTAGTTCCTTCCGCCAATCACAGTGCTCTCTGATGCAGTCGTAATTCTTCTCGTCAAGGTTGCCGTTTATGAACACTCGGATTTTCACGCCCACCTGAAACTCGGGTTGAAATAACCTCAATTCCCTGAAACTATGACATAATTTGAAACATATTCCCTGAAACATAGAGCAAAAATTTCAGAAAACAACAAAGCAAACCAGGGAAATTGGAGGGGGTAACATATTTCCCACAGAAAAATGCGCCTCAAACTTTTTGCATTCCGGAACAACTCTTAAAATCACTTTAAAAATCGACTTGAAAAAGATTTCTGATTTTTTTTGAAAAAGTTTATTTCTCGCGAAAGTCTCACTCGTTTGTAATATTTCAGTTATATTTCTTGTTTCTTCTGGCTTTTAAAAACAACTTTTGGTCCAATGCGTCATACTAAGTTGAATTTCATCAATAGAAATATAGACAGAGGCGAATCGGAGCTTCGCGCCTGTTGCGATGCAAGAAAAACATACCATGGCAAGCTAGACGGCAGAAAATGAGACTAAAGCCGTTAAATCGATTTTTTTTCGGAAAAAATGCCCAAAAATATCACAAATTTGTCTTAACTTGCAAATGTTGTTTATGACTAAAATATGCCAACTAAATTTACAGCCAGGAATATATATCCCTTATAAATGCCCATTTCAAATTTTAATTTATTTTGCTTTATTCGCTTTAAAAAGTTGCAATTTGAGAACCCTTTCTATTCTACAGTGCTGATTTAAATTAATCGGACAAAACGCGCTAAGCTTGAAACTTAAAACGCGTTTTTCTCAAATTGGGTTGAGTTTAGATGAACATTTATCGAGACAAAACTTGCTTAAAATTTTATCAGAATTAATATGGTGTAAATTGTTTTGAGAAATTCGGGCCCAAAATTTTAACCCAAAAATGAGTCATTTTGGCTTTTCTTAGTTAATCAAAAATTACGCCAAAAACACCCAGTCGGTCACAGACATAATTATACCAATGTGAGCCCCTTATGTAACCCAACAAAATTTAAGAAGGGTATAATCTCCAAAAACAATTGTAAACCGTTTAAAAATTGTTTTTAAATAAAAAGTTGGTATTTTTTTTGTCTATCAAACAAAAATAAATGAACTTATACAATGTTTTGGAGAATATACCTTTGTTAAAGTTTGCTGGGCTACGTTAAGGGCTCACTTTGATATAAATATGTCTGTGATCGACGGGGTATTTTTGATGTAATTTTTGATTAACTAAGAAAAGCCAAAATGACCCATTTTTGGGGTAAAATTTTGGGACTGAATTTCGCAAAACAAATTACACCATAACAATTCTGTTAAAATTTTAAGCAAGTTTTGTCATCATAAGTGTTCACCTAAACTCAACCCAATTTGAGAAAAAAGCGTTTTTATTTTCAAGTTTAACGCGTTTTGTCCGGTTAATTTATTTCAGCACTGTACAGTGCTGATTTAAATTATCCGGACGAAACGAACAAAACTTGAATTTTCAAACTCGTTTTTCTCAAATTGGGTTAAGATAAGACAAAAAGTGAAGAGAACAAAAGTTGCTTAGAATTTCACAAGAATTAATATAGTGCCATTTTTTCTCCGAAATTCTCAACAAAAATTTTTACCCCAAAAATGGGTCATTTTGGCTTTTTTCAATTAATCAAGAATTACGCTGAAACTACTTTGTTAATTGATGAGAAAATTATATCACAGGAAGCGTCACACGCAGCTCAACAAAGTGTTAGAAGGGTTAAATCTCCAAAATTTTGCGCAAATTGTTTAAAATTTATTTTTAAACAGAGATTCTGGGTTTTAAATAGTAAAAATCACATTTATTGACTATCAAGTGAAAATTTTTTTCATTTATACTGGTTTTTGGAGATTTAACCCAGCTAAAAACTTTGTTGGGCTGTGTTGGAAGCTTCTAGTGATATATATTCTCCATCAATTAACAAAATAGTTTCAGCGTAATTCTTGATTAATTGAAAAAAGTCAAAATGACCCATTTTTGGGGTAAAGTTTTTGTTGAGAATTTCGGAGAAAAAATGGCACCATATTAATTCTGGTAAAATTCCAAGCAATTTTTGTCTTCTTCACTTTTTGTCTAATCTTAACCCAATTTGAGAAAAACGCGTTTGAAAATTCAAGTTTTGTTCGTTTCGTCCGGATAATTTAAATCAGCACTGTATTCGCACGCTAAATAAAATCTCAATTACCGAACCTCGTGAATGAAGAGAGCCTCCATCTTTACATCTAGACTCCACTTGGCCCTAGCCAACTGCATCAACCAATCAGAATCGTCCAATGTCACTTCCGGCTGAGGCCTCGCGGCGTGATCGAGTTCTGTTTTCACAATGACAAAACCATTTTAAATTCCAAACCATACTTCTAAGACAAGATAAGATAAAATAAACAATGGTAAAAGGAAACCAGTATAACCAAACGATAGTCCGGCTGGCTTTTCTTTATATTTCATGCGCCGACAAAAGGACTATGTTTTTTGCTATAGATATGAATTTATTCTGTATCCTAAAAATTTACGTGTAATGTTATTATGATGTGAACAAAAATGAACAATAATTTTGAGGGAAAGGACAAAAATTAAACTAATATATAAATATCTTTACTTCGATTAAACTTTTGATATCATATTTGCCAGGGTAGTTCAAAGTAACAAAGTTTCCATAAAACGATCAAAATCTCACATAATATTGGTTTTTCCGAAAACGAAACCAATTTTCTACAAAAACTGGAGCGTAACCACTTACGCTGGGAAGATTCCCACTACCTACTTTTTCGATTGAACCCTTAATTCAAGATATAAGAGGGTAGTTTATTAGAAAAATGGTGAAAAAGTTTAAAAAATGGACAAACTGTCAAAGAATGGTCTTTTTTGAGACCACATATATTTCTATTAAAAACAGAAAGTACCGGAAAAAAGAGATCCCCACTACCTGTTTGTGACATTGAAATCTGAATCTCAGATTTGGTACGGTAGTCTTTGAGAAACAAGAACAAACATAAAAGAAAATGAGTCAAACCTTCCCGTTGATTGGTGCCAATTGTTTGAAAATCAGTGAAGAAGAAGTCGAAAAAAACTAAAACTTCAGTGAAACGCGGAAAAATTTGCTAAAGCGTCTCAAAAAATCATGAAAATAAAAATAAAAACGATTTTATAAAACCTGATTTTCTGGAACAAGAATTTTTTGCCCTCGAAACTACGCAAAAGAAAACTATTACGCAATAAAACATAAGCTGGAACCGTTCAATCAAAAAAAAACATTGAAAAAAAAATAAAAATCAGACTTGGAAAACCGACAATTTACGAACTTTCAATTTTCGTTCAAAATTCTATAATCACAATAAAATCCATGCTGTGAAAAATAAGCGGTAAACAAACAGAAACAGAGATTATGAATTCTATTTAAAAAAAAACGGAAATTGAACCGACGGAAACTAGGGCCGAAAACCACAAGCCCGAAAAAAATAAAATTCAACATTATTTTCGAGAAAATTATTTGAGAAACACTTAACCCCGGAAACGGACTACACCTATTTACTACCTAAACAAAGGTAGTTTTTTTTTGAATTTTCATGAAATTGAGCATGTAATGAAATTTTCCATTCCTACAAAATTGACCATTCTGTGGACAAAGTTAAGTTATTTACGGGGAAAAAGTCTAATACCTGATTGGAATGTTCCACGTTTCGCCCCCCACACATTTAGCCCCTCGCACGTTTCGCACTTAATAATTTCACACATTTCTTCCTCGCACGTTTCGCCCCTAACTTATTACACAGTTAATTAACCGCCGCTTTCTTAATGTACATTTTAGGGGCGAAATGTGCCAGTAATTTATGAGGGGCGAAACGTGTGAGGGGCGAATTGTGTGGTTGCTAAACCCTTGCTTATCGCAAAGCTAAGCAAAAACTCAACTTATTACCTGTTTTAAACATTTGCCATCTTCGCTTGTCGCAGCATTTGAACAAAAAGTTGAGCAGTTCATCTTGCACTGATTTTAAATCCTCTTCATTTTTTGCGTTCTCGTTTTCACTTTCTTCGTCTGCTTGCTCAATTATTTGATCGATTTTGGCGCCCAATTCTTGCAGCGAATAAAACGAAGTTTGAAAGAAAGAGTAGAACTGGTTCGATTCAAATTTCTCGGAAACTTGTGGGATTTGAACTAATTCTAAAATTGGAAAGTTGTCCATCGAGAGTCCGAAATCGGAAGAGTATCCGGATATTCGAGACGCACCTCGGCTGATTTCTCTGCTGGGGTTGCAAATAATGGCCAGAATGTTTATGAGTTCCATGTTGGCTACAATCTCATCAATTTTCTCCAAATTCACAATTAGGAAAACTCGCTTGAACTTTGGAATGAAACTTTTCCACGATTTCACAGAGTAATTTGAAGCTGCGGACATGTTGTGTGACCTTGAAGTGTTTGGAGTGTCTGATCGGCTTTGATCACGAGAATTGTCACCTGATAAAACTTCTTGCAATTTTTGTGCATCTTGGTTCCCATTGAGTGCAATTTCAGTTTCTTCGTTTAATTTATCAACTGTTATTGAATCCCTAGTTTTATTAATTTCTTTACCGGCTACTGATTGAGTTTCAGATTCACTTTCTTCAATTACAGTCAGTAGCTTGTTCTCTTCGACATCGTTATTGGCTGCGCTACCCAAATCCGAGTCGTTTCGGGCTTCTAAATTTTCTTCTGTTTCTGGAGATTTAAAATCAGATTTTTCGATCTCTTTACTTGGAGTGTGATCTGTTAGGTCGCCGATTCCACCCCAACTGAGCTCTCCTATCATAGAAGGATCAACAGCTTGCGAGTTTCCGTTCGGCTCAGCACCTGTAACAAAAAAAAATCAATTATTTTCATCAAAATGTACAGAAAAACAAGGACAGCCGGTTGCTGTCCAAACAGCACAGAATGTTCCGACCACACTGATTGAAGAAAAATTCAAAGTAAAACTTTTTTTTCTGTTTATATCCATTTTTTTTAAATTTTAGAATCCAAAAACTTCAGTCTCCATTCAAGTTAGAAGGTCAGCTTCTAATCAAATTCGTGCCAGCCTTTCTGTAACTTAGTCTTAAAAACGAAAAAAATCTAATCAATTTTTCTCGAACTTTCTAAGGCGTATATCTAGTCAACTTGTGACATTTTATAAGAATCGGAATCACGATTGAAAGGGCTTTAATAAGACCACACATGACCCCCAACGAATTTGAGTCGGAACAAAAAAATCGGTTTCCAATCCAAGATATTTAAAGCTTTTTAACAAATGAGCACCGCATTTGAATCACTCAACCAAATTTATTAACTTTTTTTTGGAAAAATAGAACTTTAGGTGAAAACAGAGCATTCAGAATGGAACTATTCAAACTTGAGATAGAGTATTCTTGTTTTAGTATTCTTTTTTTGTGTTTGTATTTTAGTAAATATCTGAAACAGTTTTTTTGATGTTGTCGCTGTCTTTCTATTCAAATTTTGAATTTTTGACTCCCATTTGAGTAATTGAAGTCTTTTAGAACTACTACTACTACTATGCTTACCATTAACGTCTGTATGATTAGCCCACTGTTCCTTTTCTTGTTCAACACCATCGGTTTCCGATTCCTCGTCACCCCCAAACTCCCCATCCCCCTTCTCGTCCAGTTCCCCTTCATCGTCTGAGAAAAACGCTAAAGTATCCTCTTCCACGTTCAAATTTCCCCCAAATTCATCTCTCGTCCCCGGACTTGGAGAGGGGTTGTTTGAAAACAATTCTTCTCCACTCAAGGGACTTAAGCTTTCCTGTCTTGATGTTTCAGTTATCTTTCTGCCCATGGTGACTTCGTCACTTTGGAGGGACGAGGGCATTTTTACTTGCATCGAGGGGTGTTTTGTTGCGGTTCTGCTTACATTCTAAAAAAAAACAGAACAGAAAAAATTACATCGAGTCGTAAATCATTGTTTTTATAACGTTAACTGAATGAGAGCCTGAACTTTGAAACCAAGATGACGGCAAAAATGTGATACAATTTTTTTACAGATAACTTTGAAAAAATATAAATTTAAAATTTCAACCATTTTATGGTTTGAAACAAAGGGTACAAAACTAACCTCTGTACAGCTTATGTTTGTGTTTTCGGCAGAACCGCTCCTTTCTTTCTCATCTACAGAAGTAATTTCTTTTTGTTCATTTTGTGTTTTTTCGAATGTGAGAGTTTCAGAAACGTCATTTTCGTCTCCACCATCAATACTTTCCAGTTCCAATTCCTCCTTGACGCCATCCGTAACATGCAAGGATGAGTCCCGCTGGCATTCATCATCTGTCAAATCATTCTCGGGTCTCTTTCGAATAGGCTCTGGCTGCTCTTCGGTTTCGTAGACTGTCGTGAACAAATCGACGCAAAGGGAGTTGATATCCCAGGAAAAACAGTTGTCCAGAGCGTCCAACCAGTCGACTCCTGAAAATTATGGATTTTTTTAAACAAATTGATTACATTCGAACATACTTTACTCAACTGGAGAAGATACTTCCTTTACAAAAATTTGAAGTTTTTTAATCGTTGTTTTTATCTGATTAACTTTTCAAATTTTGATACCAAAAACTCAGCAAGTTATGATCTAGAAGAGAAACAAGGTCACCCAAGCCAGCTGAAGTTACCAAACCTGTTTCTGACCACGAGGAGTGCAGAACCAGCGCATCCGCAGTTCCTGTTTCCACTAATTCGGCTCTCTCCTCCTTCGGAAAAACAGATCTGGTTAAATGGACAAAGGCCCTATTAGCCGATCCAGTTTCACTCGATATCACCCATTTTCGCACTTCTTCCACAGTCAACTCCTCTTCTCGTTTCAATTCGTACTTTTTCCTCTCAACTTTTTCCCGCAGAAGGTCAAGAAATTTTGCAGTAACGCCGTTAGTCGAATTCATCAGACAACTTTGACTGAACGTTTGAGTATGTTCAAGTTATGTATTTTATTCGAAGCATGATATAAGATTGTTTATTGAAAAATCTTTAAATGAATTTGATGCATGCATTCTTTATTTTGTCTAACTAATAACAAATAGCGTAGTATAATTTTTTTAAAAGCCAACTCAGTAGTTGTCAATGTTTATCAAGCTCGCTTTTTGCCCCTAAAAACGTTTTTTGTTTGCTTTGCCATTGTTCTAGATAAGAGGTTTTTCGTATTCTTTGACAGAGGGACATCAACTCAAAATTTTGAGAAAATTAGTAGGAAAAATTCGGCTTTGTAGGAGCGAACCACATGTTTTTTGCCGTCTACGACAAATTGAAATTTTGCTGACTGAAGCAACACCGTTGAACAACAAACAGTAGCTAAGAAAAAAAAATGAGTAGAATTTTTATTCAATGAAAGCTGTGAATGCAGCTAGACAACGAGGTTCAGTGTTTTTTTTAAAAGCTTAATGACTTCAATCAATCATTCATTTCCATCATAAAACAACCTAAAACCGTAGATAAACAAGAATTGCCGGTTGCTGTGCAATTAGCACAATGTTACGGCCACATTCATTAGGAAAACTACAAAAAAACGAGTTTTTTTTGTACAATTTAGCGACGTTTTTTTTTGCGTGTGAAGTGATGAAAGAGCAAAACGAACACGTACAAAGCAAGTGAAATAGGCACAATAGACAGGAATTGTCTTCAAATACATTTTGTTTGCAAGTTTTTCAAAAACATTCATTGAAAATTTTTTAGCAAAAAAAGTATTCAAAAGTAAAACTAGTTCTTCTTTTTAAGAGATCAAGTTTTCGTCCTGATGACTAACTTTCATGCAACGAATGTTTCGATCGGTTTTCTCGCTCGAAATAAGACTAAAATTCAAAAGTTTCAAATTGTATATTTTTTCGACACAAGGACAACTTGTTGAAAATGTAAGTAGTTCGAATCTTAAATCATAGTAGGGCTTCACAATAATGCATTACCCGGCACATTTAGGTGATTAATTGTAGTGAATGATATTGCGCGCAAAAATTTTACAGAGGAAAGCTGTGCTTCGCAAACACTAGCGAGAAAACGGCCAAAACAACCCCGGGTTGACCAAAACTTCTAATCATACAATTTCCATTTATGAAAAACTTCTTGTCATACAATTCCATACAATGCCATACGTACAGAACATTGTATGAAATCTCTATGATAAAGATTTTTCCATAAATGAATATTGTATGATAGGTGTTTTTCCATAAACCAAAAATTTTGATTTTTTCTTTCAAAATTTAGTTTCTGAAAAGTTTTTGGTTGTGTTCGCAACGAACACAAGTGACAAAGACCTTGGTTACTCAAAACACCAAAGGTTGGACGGTCTTGCATATACAATGCATAGCAAACGACCTGTATTTGGATGTTTTTCACAATTGATATAACAAAAATAACGAACTTTTATTTTTTGGCAAAATTTTTTAATGATGATTATTTTAAATTTTTGAATTTTCAAGTTATCAGACATTGATCAAGGCTTACATTAACACCCCATACAAAAGAAATAGGAATTTTCAGCGTTTTTGAAAAAAAATTTAAGTGAAAAGAAAATAAAAGCCAATTTTATCGTATCCAGGACTACTTTATGCACAAAAAATATTAAATTTTGCATGCAAAAAAATTTCGAAAAATGTTTGTGCGTACGAAATTCGATTTGCGGTTGAAAAAAAACTAAAAAATTTTTTGGGCCAGATTTTCAAAATTACTTGAAAAATTTTTGGGAATGGTATGATAAGCATTTTTTTCAAAAAAAGGAGAACCTCAGTTTTTATCACCAGACTGTTTTATAAGAATCAAACATCCACAGAAATAAGTTTATACCAGTTTTCAACCATTTTTAGAAATTGTATGAAAATTGTATGACAAGAAGTTTTCCATACACTTGATGTATGGAATTGTATGATAACGATTTTCGGTGTATGGAGGTCAACCCGGGACTCTGCAAAGACCAGAAGGAAAACAGAAAAAGCCTCGAATTAGTTTTAAAAAAAATCGGCTACGTCGCGGATTCGAATCTACTGTGGCCTAGATATAACGGGTCCCGCACAATAACAACTTAATTGAACGACGCTTAATTAAAAACATACACTTGCCACAAATAAAACAGAGAACAGATGCTATGCTTTTTCCAATTCTACAGTGGAATTCCGATTTGATTAAACATTTTCAATGAAGACTTTTATTTGTGAGTTAGGTTAGAAAAAATAGGGTTCGTACTAATACATTAACGCTCGCAATCTCACTAGTGTGATAATAACCGAAAAAAAGTTTCTCCATTTCGAATGGTCGGAGCAAAACAATTTGCAGAAAATTCCAGAAAACAAACCCGAAGAAAAAGGCCCCCCTTTTTTCAATGGTCGGCAAATTTCTATTCAAGCACTTTTGAGACTCGCAAGTTTGATCTTAAAGTGAGTTGTAGCAACAACATACATTGTTTTTCAGAACACATTATAAAAGCAAAACTTCAGCAGTTGCAAATAGTTTGTCATTGAAAGCTGAGCTGCATGTACCATCCATTGTTTTAAGACTCTAATTATTCTCTAACCATAATTTTCGACGGAAAGGACGTACTTTGAGTTCTGGCGAATTAACACAAAAACTAGGTTTAAAAACAACTGTCAAATGTCTTTGAGATATATCAAAATTGAGTTCATTTAGCTCTGATTGGACGACTACCAAAGAGATTTACCGCTCAAAGCACGAACAAAATTAACATAGACGAAGCGGAGTTCCGCACCATTTGTGACACCACATAAAAACTACATTGCAAGCTAATAGTCAGGGAAAAAGATTCCAACGCTCACGTTGCGGGAAAAAATTCCAGAAACACAATTGAGGTCGTTTAATGAAAGTTCAAAGCCAATTATCGAGCGCAACAGAGACGACAAAATTTGGATAATTCAAGTAGAAACAAAACAAATTGTTGTCATGAAAAACTTTGAAATATAGATTCAAATCTAAGACTTCTACCAATTTATGCGATCCGAAGGGGTAAAGAATGTGTTTTCATTGAAAAGACCCAAAATTTTTTCAATAAGCCGTTAAAACATAGACCGTAGTAATCTGGACCGAATGAAGTTTTTAAGCGAATCAAAACACCGAATAAAGGAAAGACGAAGTCAAGGTTGGTCAAATTATAAAGTGCAGGAGAAAAGAAAATCCAGACATCCAGACAACAAGACAGCAGAAAGTTCTAAGATGTGGCAGCTAAGCCAAAATAAATGCAGACAAAAAATAGGCATCTTCCTTTGAAACAGAATTTTTTTTAAATTTGAAAAAAAAAACGGTCCTGGCGAGATTCGTACCCGGGAACTTTGTTGCCCAAGCGTTTTCTCCATAGTGGGTTACCTGGCGGGTTACCTCCATAGTCTTTCTTTACGTCGTATTCGTTATGCCTTCCTTTACGTCGTATTCGTCACCGCCATGCTAAGTAAATCCCTTCTTTGCTCTCACCGCCAAAAAATGATGAAGATCTCAAAGATCAAACACATCCAGATGAACAACTGTTCATGATTTTATTTTACAAAAATAGCATTAACTGAAAAACATGAACACAGAGGCGAAGCGAAGCTTAGTGCCACTTGCAAAGCATGAAACACATATCATGGCAGCCAGTCGAACATGCAACAAAACCTATTGAAAATGTGAAAGCCTACTGAAACAAAACAAAAGAAAAAATCGCAAAAATTTCAATAGAAACAAGTTTCTTTTACACTTGTCTTAAATTAAATAATAATCTATCTTATGTCTTGAAAGGGTGCGATTATTTAGAAGATCATAATTATTGCAACAGCGCAAAATGAAAAAATACACAGATTTCACGTTTTTATTAATTGTTTCACCACAAATCTGCATCAAAAAGTTTTACCATCGGCACAAATTTTACTTCAGATCCGCTGCTACTCTTATTTTTTATTCAAAATCTGACACTCTCAAATTACTATAAAAATATTCAACATTCTCATTATACAATTAAACTGTCGGATGCTTTTGGCCTCGAAACTTCAATAAGACAAACTGAACCTAACATGAGACAAATCGGTTATTTTGTTTATTTCTGAATTGTTCCAGCCACTTCACGAATTGAAGGGGACAAATTATGGCGTAGTACATGTATTTTCTTCCCATTTTGACCAGTCCCATATTTGATTTGGGAAAGCAGTGTGTCGTGAAAAACTGGTTTCCTTTTTTAGGGGTTTAAATATAACTTTAGAGCAAAATTTACTATTATTTTACTTAATTTTATCGCCATGTAAAAAAAAGAAAAACAAGAAAATTGGAAAAAGTAGGCTTTCCTGAGAAAGTGGGTTTGAATTTTGAATTTTTTAGCATGCCGGTCGCAATATTTTGTCCTAATTTCACAAAAACTTTTTATCGTTGATTTAATTTTCACATTTTTTCTCAGAATAAAATATATGACGATAATTTTCGAAGAAAAAAATATTTCGAAAATTTTGTGAATACTGATTACCATGAATTAGAATACAAAAAATATTATACCCTGAGTGGCCTATCATTAAAATGGCAGCATCATTGAATTCAGGCAGCTTTAAGTCATTGTAATAGCTCCACACAATGATTGGTCGAGAACACACTCCGATGACCCATATTGTCGATAATATGAAAATCATTAATGTAAACGGAATCAGAAGCTTAACTTTATTGATAAGTTGATCGAAATGTATACGAAAACAGTCATGTAGAATTAAATATTAGTTTAATGAAAAAGCATATGGGTTAGGAAACGTTTGAGTAACTTGTATGTTCGATCTGTTTTTGTGTAGAAATAATGTCAAAACTAAAAAATTGAAGATAGATCAAAGTTACTTGAGGTTTAGAGTAGAGGAAAACACACAACGCTCAACTCTCAGCCGAAAGCCGGCGTTTCGAAACCCGTCCGGAAATTGTACTGAAAGGAGGCCTCAGTTGCTGGTATGCAGATGTCTCCCCATATACCGATTTTGTATTTTTTTTCTTTGATTGTAACCTAACTTTTCGGATTATTGCTATTCATTTAACAATTGGGTAAAAATAA